GCCACAGGGATTCCACGGGTTTGAGTACAGATAGCTTGTCTGATGCAGGCTTCCCAGGAGCTGCTGCTCTTGGTGATATTGCTTGTGGAATGGCAGCTGTCAGAATATCTTCCAAGGATATAGTTTTCTGGTTTCGATCTCACACTGCCAAAGAAATTCGATGGAGTGGTGCAAAGCACGAGCCTGGTGAAACGGATGATGGTAGGAGGATGCATCCAAGATCTTCATTCAAGGCTTTCCTTGAAGTTGTCAAGGCAAGGAGCTTGCCCTGGAAGGACTATGAAATGGATGCCATTCATTCATTGCAGCTAATACTGAGAAATGCATTCAAAGACACAGAGAGTATGGAGATAAGCACATATGCTATCAATACAAGGTTAGGTGGTTTGAAAATTGAAGGGATGCAAGAACTGGAAGCAGTGACTAGTGAGATGGTAAGGTTAATTGAAACAGCAACAGTGCCAATTTTAGCTGTTGATGTTAATGGGATGGTCAATGGATGGAATACAAAAATTGCTGAGTTGACATGTCTTCCAGTTGAGCAAGCTATTGGGAAGCATTTACTCACTCTTGTTGAAGATTGTTCAGTAGATACAGTGAAGAAGATGTTGGACATGGCACTGCAGGGTATGCCTTTTTCTATTCCTGTCTTATCCTTATACAAGCTCTCGTATTTTATTATTATTTTTTAATCTTAGCATTCATGAGCAGAGACTTCAAAATGAGTGTAAGTATTTAGATGTTAGCATGTCATGTTCCCTAAAGTCATCCGTGAATATTGCTTTATTGAAGAATTATAAGAAGGTTAATTCGTCTTGCTTCCAAGTTTTATTCAATTTTATCCCTATATTTCTATTTAACATGCTACAATGTGATTAGGTGAGGAAGAGAAAAATGTGCAATTTGAGATCAAAACACACGATTTGAAGATTGATGCTGGTCCAATAAGCTTGGTGGTTAATGCTTGTGCAAGCAGGGATCTTCAAGATAATGTTGTGGGGGTTTGTTTTGTGGCCCAAGATATAACTGCTCAGAAGACAGTGATGGACAAATTCACTCGAATTGAAGGTGACTACAAGGCAATTGTGCAGAACCCAAACCCATTGATCCCTCCAATATTTGGCACAGATGAATTTGGCTGGTGTTGTGAATGGAATTCAGCTATGACAAAATTAACTGGATTGAAGCGAGAGGAGGTGATGGATAAAATGCTTTTAGGGGAGGTTTTCGGGACTCAAATAGCTTGTTGCCGTCTAAGGAATCAAGAAGCTGTCGTCAACTTCAGCATTGTAATTAACAAAGCCATGGCTGGTTTGGAAACAGAGAAGGTTCCTCTTAGTTTCTTTATTCGTGATGGGAAACATGTAGAATGTCTGCTTTCCGTGAGTAAGAAATTGGATGCAGAGGGTGTAGTTACTGGAGTCTTCTGTTTCTTGCAACTAGCTAGTCCAGAGCTGCAACAAGCATTACACATTCAGCACCTCTCTGAACAAACTGCATCCAAAAGACTGAAAGTTTTAACTTATATGAAAAGGCAAATCCGGAATCCTTTATATGGGATTGTATTCTCCGGGAAATTGTTAGAAGGTACTGAGTTGGGAGCTGAACAAAAACAATTTCTGCAAACTGGTACTCGATGTCAACGCCAGCTTAGCAAAATCCTCGACGACTCAGATCTTGACAGCATCATTGATGGGTATGATATCTCCGAGTATTGTGCTTTTAGTCTTTAGCCCTCGTCATTTATTTGGTGTTATCCAATTTCTCAACCACAACTAATATTGTGTGTCATGATGAAACAGTCAAAAAATTTAGCTGATGATAGTTTTACCAAGAAATTTGAATATCCACCAGCAGCAGATAAAATTTGACTTTTGTATGCGTTCGCTTTGTCAAACAAGAAAGGGTTCACTGTGTCGTGCTCTAATAAATGAATATTTGGTTTATCTCCTGGATTTCAGGAATCATATTATATATAACTAATATTTTTTTTACAGTAGAAGCATAGACTTCACTTACTAGTCACCCCTTTTGTTCTGCATAATTTTGATTCAGTTTATTTTATGTACATTTCTTTCCTGTATGTTCAACAGCTACCTGGATTTGGAGATGGTTGAATTTACTCTGCATGAAGTGTTGGTTGCCTCCTTAAGTCAAGTCATGATAAAAGGTAATGCAAAAGGTGTCCGAGTAGTCAATGATGTTGAAGAGCAGATCACAACAGAAACCTTATATGGTGATGGTCTCAGGCTCCAGCAGGTCTTAGCTGACTTTTTATTGATTTCCATCAATTTCACACCAACTGGAGGTCAGGTTGTTGTAGCAGCCTCATTAACACAGCAGAAGTTAGGGAAACTAGTCCATCTTGCTAATTTGGAACTCAGGTAATTAATTAACTATACAAAGCTCAGATGGACATTTCAAAATTTCTTTTTTATGCTGTTAGAATTAACATGAAAGTGAAAAGATGTACGTCACTTTTTCACATCATACTCTTGTGGGACAAATAAAGACAAACAAAAGTGTATGTAGGCATGGAGAGGTTGAGTCCAACTAGTTTAAATCTTTCCAGATGATATACCTTCTATGCTTATACAGATCCAACACAGGTCACACTCACCTGAATTGGACCTATGCAGCACAACTTCTCAAGGAAAATAAACTTGTTATGCTGCATTGAGATTATATTTATACGTAATTTGTTAATAAAAGTGTTTGCTTTTGTTATTTTTTGCAGCATAACACATGATGGTTTTGGGGTTCCAGAAGCATTGCTGAACCAAATGTTTGGACGTGATGGAAATGAATCCGAGGAGGGTGTCAGCTTGCTGATTAGCAGACAGCTGCTAAAGCTGATGAATGGAGACGTACGTTATATAAGGGAAGCAGGCAAATCATCTTTCATCTTATCAGTTGAACTTGCCGCGACGCATAAAACCAACACTTGAAATTTTGGAAATAATTAAACCAAACCATATTTTTTGTACATCCAAAAGTGAAGGGTGCAAGAAATTTGCATTCCTTGTTCAATATTTAACTCTGGTTACTACCTACCTTCTTGTAAGGTGATGATGTAGATATGTGTAATGTATAACTAACTATTCACACTCTCCCCTCAAGTGGTCTCGTTACAGAGATTATGCGTCATTTGCAACAGAATGAAACATAAGAACTAACTACGAACATCAAGCGTGAAGTTGTTCAAACTTAATCAGATATATGAATTTGAATCCCACCCAGCTTATACATATCGCGTGTGTTTTTACACTTTCCTTTCTTTCAAAACTTTATTGTTAAACATAACTTATTTAAATATTTTAATCACTATCATAAAAATAAATATTTGTCTATTATTTTTTTTAATATAAAATGATACTAATTATATACTTTTCTAAAATAGAAGAGGTAAATAATGATATTGATAATAATAATATATAAAAGGATTTATCAGATTAAATCACCATTTTTTATGGATAGTGAACTATATTTTGTGTTATTGGATTAAGTAGTCCAAAATCTATTTATCAAAATAAGTTTTTAAAGAATAAGTTTTTGACTCTATATATGGCTGAAGTTTACATAATCTATTAATATGCATAAATATTAAACTTTAGTTTATAAGAATATAAGCATTTATAATTAACTCCTCATGTGATCATAAATTACATTAGGCATAAATTCAAAGTTTCCATTAATATATATTACTTAACCATTTTATTATTAAATTATGGAAATTTGTCACATGTTTGCATTTTTTAAATTGAAAATTTTGATTGAATTTTTCATTAGTAGATGGATTAAATTAAAAAATAAAAAATAACTTTAAATTTTGAATTCAAATTGAATACCATATAGATCATTATCCAGGGTAGAAGTAACATTAAAACTCCAACAACGGAACTTTTAATAAACTTGAATTTCATTTCAGAGATTAAATTTTTTTTGTTCAGTCCTATTTTATCACCTTACCTTCCCTCTTATTACTCCGCCTCCGTTTATGCAGGTGTGCATTTTTTTCATTATTAAAAATAAATGAATAAATAATAAAGAGTGGTCCTGAAAACGTAGCGAGGTTTTAATAGGTTTGGAGTTCATAATAATTAGAGTTCAACGAATTTTAAAATGGGGTAATAAGGTCGTAGTGGTTATTAGATTTTATCTCCATTATAATTCCTTTGTCCAAAATATATATATATATATATATATATATATATATATATATATATTTTTTTTTTTTCGGTAACAAAAACACTATAATAGGGCTCTTAACCAACAAGAAAAAAATTATTTCAAAAGATATGGAGATACATACAATTTATTTTCAGCAAATTGATATTATATTTGAAGAGAAGCTTTAGGATTAAATTGCTTGCCCACGAGGGAAAATATGCCAAATGAATATGGGTTGGTAGTGTGACATTAGTTAATTGATTTTGTCCCATACTTCCGTTACCAGCTTTTGTTGCCTTTCCAAACATATGTAAAGGACCTTAATTTAAATATCTCATTTGGATTGCTGACTTGGTAGTAACTTCAATTAACCCACTAAAATGAACTTTACATTTACCATTAGTCAAGATCAATTAGAGCAATGAATATTTGATAATTCAAACAACTCAAAAATTAACATTTTTTGTTATGTATTATTATTCTGAGTTTGGGTTACAAACACATTTTTAATCAGTTATGGAGGAAAGTGTGCACTGATTCACATGTCACAATTTCACCGCAGAACAGTATACAAGGTTGTGGAGCACATTTTCATAACTGTTATGAAGTCAACATCCCACACAGAGCCACTAACAGAACATTTGATTAACAAAACAACAAGCATGCATTTATTTGTCAAATTCCAATTATAAAGAAAATGAATATACCACATTTACTCACATTCTAAATCCTTAATGAGTCTCCAACGAACATGAATTGTAAAGCAACAAGACAAGAAAGGAGGGTGAAAGAGCAATGACAGAGACATTACAACCACATTCACACATAAATTATTTCTTAGGTGCAAGCGCATGCTTGATTTTCTCAACCTCCTTGGTATCAATCTGGAATGCCTTGCTCAACACATTGTCTGGAACAGGTGGTGTGGCTGTAAACAAGGTGAGAGCAATGGACTGTGTGCCAGGTAATTGACTGTTGAAGGCTGCAAGGACTGAAGCAGGTTCCTTTGCATTGTTCTTCTGGAAGTGAACTAAGCCTTTTGGGAACACAAAAATTTCACCCTTGTAGATGGTCTTTGATATGAGCACATTGGCTGTGGTTATGAACCCCACATCGAGTGTACCTTCGAGCACGAACACAATCTCGGTGGCACGTGGGTGAGTGTGGGGAGGGTTGATGCCACCTGGAGCATAGTCAACGCGTGACAAAGACACACCAAGGGTGTTGAGTCCTGGGATTTTCTCTACATTGGCTGCAGTCACCAAGGAGCCATAGGTGTTGTTCGTGGCACCTGGTTTGGCTAGTATGTCTGAGAAGAAATCAGAGGCATCTACCTTGGAAGCAGCTTTGCAAACGAATCCATTCACTTTAACAGCTGTTACCATCACAACAACAATCAGAATTGCACAAAAAAGATATAATAATGCATGCATCAACCCTTTATTCAATTCAAAATTGTTATGTAGATCACAAATTCTTAAAAAAATAAGAATGATGCTAAAAGTGATTAAACTCACACCACCAAATTATCAATGAATTAAATGTTTAGTGTACCAATCATGCTACAGAAATGTGAAATAATTAATGGGAGTTGGTGATAAGCTTATTATAATCTAAATGACACTGTTTTGTAGGAGATGTTCAACTGTAGCCACAGGTGAGGGGAAAAGAAAAGTTAATCATATGAGATACTTTTGAGTCATTGAAAAGCAAAACTAAAGTAGTTGACAGGTGTAGGAGAATGAATTCATGAAAATATAATGAAATAAAAAGGATGAAATCTAATGATTAAGGGGAAAAGTGAAAGTATTCATGAAACTGGGCATCCTCCTTTTGATTTCTGTAGAATAGATTGTGAAAGAAAGAGTTTGATATAAAAATAGAACCTGAGGCAAGGTCAGCGACACAGAGGTCTTGAAGAGGATCAGGATCCGCTGCAGAGATGGTGGTTAACACCAAAGCAAGAGTGAGGAGTAGGAGGGAGCCTGTGAGCTTCATGTTAGGCTACAATATGGTATGTGAGAGAAGTGAAGAGTTGGGAATGAAATGATGGTGTGGTTTGGGGTATTTATAAAAGGGGTAGAGAGTAGATAGAGAAGAAAGAAGAAGACTTAGAATATGGTGTATAGTATCGTAGAACAAATGGTGCGCGTGTGAGTTAAAAGCATGCAACATGCCTAATTCTTGGACATAAAACAGACTAATAGAATAGAAGTGCGTCTGGGTTTGGGCCTTGTTGGATGTGTGACCCAGTCAATGGTGAGTTGCGTCCCTTGCGCGTCTCACACATGTCACCTGCTCCGCGCCGTTGTCTTGAGTGTCTGATTAATTAATCAAATTGTAGCATATTCTGCAGGTAGACCTCATTTTGTGTTCCAACTTGATCAATTTCTTCTAGATCAGTTCCTTCCCCGAATTTCAAATGGTAGTTTACAATGCATAGCGTTTACTTTAAATTAAATGCTTATAGTACTTGCTTACGACAGACCATTAAACATTTTAGGTCGTTTCTTCTACGCTATGAACAGCTCCACATGGGTTCGCTTTATTTTACATAGGGAAACTGGTGTTTTTGTTTATCTATTGTTTTAAACTTTTAAGCATTCTTAATCGGTATTTTCAATTTTCTAAAATTGTACTGATTATTGACCAGTTGAGAATTTAAAAGTTGAATTTAATTTAATAAAATATTTTTTATATTACAATATTTTTTAAAAATTAATTATAATAATAATAATTATTATTATTATCACAATTATTATAAATTATAATAAACAAATTAAAAAACAATAAAATAAAATAAAAATATTAAAACATAATTATTACTTAAATTGTCATAAGATAAAAGAACAAAATTTAAAATATTATAAAAAAATTATTTGTAACCTTTTTTAAAAATTACTTTGATCCAAAAAATTAATTATTTTTTTATTTTGTACTAATTTTTTAATTTTATATCATTTTAATTAAAATCTAATTATTAAAAAATAATATACTTATGTTTGAACTGATTTTCAGTCAAACCAATCCATTTAATCCGATTTTTAAAGCTGTGTTTATATTTTAATTATACTTCATATATATATATATATATAAAGAAAAAAATACAAATGCATAACATTAAAATAAAATAGATTTTAATAACATACCTTTTAAGATTGAGATTATCTCCGATTTTGTAAATATATTCTTAGCAAGCATCCATATGTGTCATTCGGACAAATTATTTAAAATAAAATAAAAACTTTACGTAATAGAAGAAGGGTTTTGTGCATGATGTGAAAATATAAGAATTTTAAAGTTATTTGTTAAACTATTTAGTGAAACTTTTAGAATTGTTCAGATGGAGGTATAAGTTATTTAAATTATAAAGAGGCAAATAAAAGTAACTTGTAATGGTCCTCTTATTTAAGCACTCAAAAAGTAAAGAGAGACTTGACTTCTCCAACCTAAGAATGTATACTTTGTAAAATTAAATGTTTATAAATTATTTATTAATAAAAAATTGTTTATATATATATATTAATTATATTTGACAATATTTTATATTATAATAAATTTATGTATTTTTTTAAATATCTTTATAAATTTATTACAATTTATTTTATTATTTATTCTTAAAAAAACAAATTTATAGTTTTTTTTAGATATTTATAAAATTTAATATATTTTTTTACATTTTAATATCAAATAATTAAACATAACTCACACCCATCTAAATAAAAAAACTATAAAACAAAAATAGATAAAGGGTAAAAGAAAAAAATATATATAATCACATTTTTAACATGGTCTTTGTAATTGATTAGAATTTATTATAAATTATAGAATTATGCAATTGTGCAATTTTTTTTAGTGTCATTCATAATTTGTAATTGACTTAAAAAAAATTGGAGAATGTACTGCCAACACACCTCTTAAATAATAAATGAAATATATGAATAATTTATAACTAGTTGTAATACAATATAAGATTTTTTAAATTACTAGCAATACATTGTTTTCCAATAGAGTATTTTTATTGGTTAAAATATATTAAAAGTTACAAAATCATAAGTGAAATTGATTAAATAAGAAATTCTATCCACCTATTTTTTATAACTTAATAATACATTTGTAAGATTTTATTTTCTTGTATTGAATAATATTGATTTATATAAAAAGTGATGAGATATTTAATTTAATTATATAAAATTGATTCAATAATCTAACTATATAAGAGAATGAAATGGTGAATAAAAGAATTAGTAGTTGGATGATTTTAAACAATAAAAAGCTTATCCAATTGCTTTGGTTTCTGTTTTTTTTTTTCCTGAAAAAAAAATAAAGAGGCAACATTAGGTGTTGTGGGGACGTGGAATTCTGGAGTCTATCTTAAGAAAAGCCACTGAGACAAACAAACCCTCCTTTAAATTCAAACCTACTCTTCTTTAATTAATTAATCTGATAACAAATAATTTGAAATAAGTAGAAAATAGGCTCTCTCTTTTTCTTTCTCTTTTTTTCCTAAACATCAATTTTGATTAAAACTTTATAGCATCTTATTGCATTGAAAAAGTGTGCATGTAGTTGGAGGCAGACACTAATTATAATTTGAATGTTTATATTATAATCTCTTTAATTATGTAAAAAAATTAAGATTACTGTTTAAAAAAACATTTATATGAATATTCAATGATAATTATTTGCTGAATAATAGAGCCTCTTTTTATTTTTCTACCTTTGGTTCTAATTATAGATTTTCAAACCTAAATGTCATATTTTCTTGGTCTATCTAAACTCGTGTCTCCATCGTTGATCCTTTTGTAATTGCTGTAATCACTCCTTGACTTTTCCCTTGTTCCATCTGCAACCACCAAAGCACCAAACATTAATATATTAAGGAAACATGACAAATTAAAGATAGAAATTTCCTACAATGAACAGATACCATTATAATAAAAACAATATATTGATTGGAACACAAATATTCCTTCTTTCAGAGATAATATTAAAGTTATATACAAATATACGAATAATTTTTATTTCTGCCTTTCATATTCAAATCATTAAAGTATTAAGTTTAACAAAAATAATTCTTATACAAATTTTACTTAGTTATCAATCTAGTTGAAGTGAATGGTTGACCCAAGTAAATTAAACGTATGAATAAAATAACAAATAATTAATAATTTTCCTTTTATTGTAAGAAGAAAAATCTTATATCAGAAAATTTTTAATTTGGTGTTCTTTTTCTTACTATAAAAGGAGCATATTATTTTTCTTGTAAAATGCACCAAAATCACTTTATTTTCTTTCTCTTACTATTTTTGTATTTGAAAGATAAATTAAAAGAGAAAAATAGTTTTTCCTTTTATGTTCTCTTAGAATTGTTTTTCCTTTATTTCGAGAAGAGAGCGTTATTATTTTCTCCTTGGAGATAGAGAAAGAAGTGTTGTAATTTTTTTCATTAGTGGAATTACTTTTTTACCTATTGTCGGTGTTTTTCTTATCTTTTTATTTTAGTTGTGTATACTTATGCTTTTGTCTGATACCTAACAATGGTATCAAAGCCACTAGATTGTCATATTTATCTTCTGCTGCATAGTCATTAGAATAATGTTGGAGAAAATTCTTAGTATGCTCTGTGGTTGCAGTTAATATGATCTTCCACATAAGAAAATAGTTATTCTTGTTCCTGAATATTATTTGGTAGTGTGATAGTGCATGTCTAGGAAAAGTTCTGACCCACCTCTTTTTCCTGGAAACTTACCTGGTGTACTGGTTCGCAGTTTACCATTGTTGTTCTAGTAGACAATATTATTCATAGTGAGGATTACTTAGGTCGATTTTGGAACCATGACAATAAATTATGAGATGGAGATGTTCAATGAAAGTAATTTTTCATTGTGAAAATTGAAGATAAAGAAAAATTTGAGGAAGGACAATTGTATTAATGCAATTGCAGAAAGAACCATGGAACACATAGATGAACGACGATGAAAAGAAATGAACGATTATGTTATTACGAATTTGCACTTATCAATGACAGATTCAGTTTTATCCACTGTTGCGGAAAAGACTACTATGAAGGAGAATTCGAATACCCTCATTAAACTATGTGAGGTAAAGTCACTTCACACAAGAATATTCTTGAAGAGAAAATTCTATACTCTTCGGATGAGTGAGTCCACATCAGTGACGGACCACATCAACCATTTGAATACCTTGTTTTCCTAACTATCAACAACAGATTTTAACATAGTTGAAAATGAGCGTGCAGAGCTTCTACTTCAGAGTTTACCTGATTCGTATGATCAAGACATCATTAATATTACAAATAATAATATTGGTGGGAATATGCACTTTGAAGATGTCGCCGGAGCTATTCTTGAAGAAGAATCCAGGCATAAGAGTAAGGGCGAAAGTTTCAAACAAGCAGAGACTTTGACAATGATAAGAGGAAAATCAACGGAATGTGGCTCGAGTAATGATAGATCGAGGCTCGAAGTAAGAAGAGTTATAAAATCAAATGCTACTTTTGTGGCAAGAAAGGACATACGAGAAAAAGAGTATTAGAAGAGGAAAAATGGAGAAAACAACCCTGAAGAATCAACCTCACAAGGTTCTGTTGTAAGTACCTCGAAAGATAAGATATTTTGATAAGTGAAGCAGTAATTAACTCTAACGGTGAAAATGAGTTTCATGACAAGTGGATAGTGGATTCATGTGCAACATGACACATGACTCTGCACTGAGATTGGTTTCACACTTATGAACTATTCTTAGGTGGATCCGTCTTCATGGGAAACAACCATGCATTGGAGATTACTAGAGTTGGTACCGTCAAAATTAAAATGTATGATGGTACTACTCGCACAATTCAAGGGGTACGACATGTGAAGGACTTGAAGAAGAATCTCTTGTCCATTGGGCAATTAGATGACCTCGGGTGTAAGATCCATGTTGAAGGTGGAATCTTGAAGGTGGTGAAGGGGAGTTTGGTGGTCATGAAGACA